TTGAGTCAGGCTTGGTTTCTTGCCCATACTAAAGGAAGCCAGCAAAAGTATAATGTGGGATTTGCCAGGAATTGACCCAGCCTAGCACTGCATTCACTCCCTCCTGATAGGATCTGGGGAGACCACCTCATGACCTAGCCCCATCCAAACTGTGCTGTGCTGAGGGTTGTTGGGGTTTCCTGCCCCACACTGTAGGTGTTCTATGTCCCACCACGCTAGGGGGCTCTGGCACTGGTGCCCCGTAGAATGGGAGGATCCTGGCTGGCAGCAGGGAGGCTGGGGGAATCATAGAATACTAGGACTGGAAGGCACCTCGAGAGGTCGTCGAGTCCAGTCCCCTGCCCTCATGGCAGGACCCAGTACTGTCTAGACCATCCCTGATAGACATTTATCTAACCTACTCTTCAATATCTCCACAGATGGGGATTCCACAACCTCTCTGGGCACTGTGATCCCTGGGGCAAGATTTCTGGCAGCACACGCTACAGAAAAGAGAGTCTAGGTTGGCTATTGCAGTGAGATGTCCTGGGGGTAGCGTAGGGATGTTAAATTTAGTTTAATCAACTAATCCACTAGGTTGATGGATTTTTCCATTGATTAGTTGATAAGCAGGAGAGCCGCAGGAGGGTTTGCTCCCAGCCCGGGAGGTAACCTCCCTGCAGCTCTGCCTTTTAAATGTATTAAGAGCCTGCCAGCTCTTAATACATTTAAAAGGCTGGTGCACAGTACGAGCCAGGAATCAGCTGTCCCGACTCGTGCCAGGTCCCCCCCACTGCACTTCTGATTTTTAAATGTATTAAGCAGAGGCACAGCATCTGGGACTGGGCGCAAGCCAGGAATCAGCTGATTCTCGACTCTCATCCGGTCCCTGCTCCCCCTCTGCCTCCCCTACCCCTGCATTGAGAGGGTGCTGGGGAGAACTTGCTTTTAAACTGTCTCTTCCCCAGCACCGGCTCCTGCTCCCCCCCCTCACCCACCGCTGCCTCTGATAGGGTAGCGCGGGGTGATTGTCTGACCTTAGGACAGATGGAGGGGTGAGGGTCAGCTCCACCAGGGTCCTTCTGCTGCCTTGTGCAAGGAGATGTCTTGTATATTTCCAGCATTGGTCTTGCTAAGTGCCGCCCCCTGTAGGATGAGGAGGAGCCAGCATTGCTGAGGGGGCAGGGATTCCATCAAGCCCTTGGTGTGCTATTTTTTACCTGATGCTTCCCAGCCTCCATGGGCACTAGTGCCAGTACTCTGAGCGAGGTCTCGGCTGTGCCAGCCAGTGCCCATCCCATCAGTAGTGCCCCTCTGTGCTGCCAAGGACCCTGCACTGTCTGCGGTCCCAGAACAGACTCAGGAGCAGCAGCAAGGTGGGTTAGAGTAGACCTTGCTGGATAGAGCTAAGCAGCATACTGGGGCCTGGTGGTCAGGGGAGACCAGTCACATACACCCACACATTCCAGGGTGGGAGCTGCTAATTAAAGCCTTAATCAGGGGCATGGACTTTGCAGGCCTTTCCTTGTTTGTGGTAGACTCCTTGCCAGCATTCCCTGTAAGCTGAGTGCTTGGGCAGCCATCCAGGAGAAATTCACATGCCACTCAGTGGATTAGCAGAGCGCCCACAGCCGGCAACATGTGTTTCTACTGGTGGTGCATACCCACACATGCCTTGGTGCACATAATAAAATTGATTCTACACATGGATGGAAAAAATTAGAGGGAACATTGCTCCCTGCCTCCACCCATTAGTCACCTACCCAAGAGGTTGCAGTCAAAGCACAGGAAGCTGGGATCTGGCCCAGGTGATCCAGGCTTACGTGGCTGTGGGCCCTATTTGGGAACAGGTGGCTAATGACTGGTGTGGGGAGGGCCACTGGCCACCCATGTCCCCAGCACCGGTGGGCGTTGGTTAGTTGCACACATCTCAACCAGGCCAGAGCTGTGCTCTCGCTAATCTGGCATACGGTCTCCTGTGGGGATGGATGGCTGGATGCTCTGGACCTGCCCCTGCATACACATACGCCTCTCCCTCCTGAACCCTCTTGTGGAGGGAAAAATGGCCTGTCAAGCTGGGCGCCATGGCCCAGTTCTACACACTCGCCACAGTGTCTGTGCTATGGAGTGGGGCGTGGGAATGGCTCCTAATTGGGAGGCTGTCCCAGCCAGGGTCCTTGCTATGCTGCCAGCTGGCTCTCACTCAGTCACTTGGTCTCTGTGGCGCTCCTTACCAGGAGGGGCTCTCCTGGAGCCAATGGCACTTTCCCACAGGTGTGGGGAGCCATGCAGCAGGGTCCCATCCCCCCACTGCGACCCGGCTGCCTCCAGGCAGGGCTGCCCAGCCCATGAGCTGCCCAAGGCAAGGAGAGGTGAGAGCAAGGGAAAGGCAGCTGCACCCCAGGAAGTGGGGGAGCATTGCTTATTGAAGGGAGGGGCATAATTCAAAATG